GGTGGTGGGATCGCCAACGTTGGGAGGAGGATCGTCCCGTGTCGGTGGGCCGACGAATGGGTGTCGTCCACCGGTCCCGAGTTCCATGGGCGTCGGGCCACTTGGCGAGTCGTCAAGGGCAGTGACACCCATCCGCCCGTTGGTGTCTTCGCCTACAATGCGGCAGAGGGCGACCGCAAGTGCTGCAAACAATGATGGGACTCCACCGGAAGACATCGGGAGGCAGRCGTGGGAGAACTGCCGCCTACAGATGCGGCGTGATGCCACGGAGAACATAACCACCGGTGTGTCCAGGCTTAGTGTGGGGAGCGACGTGGATGCGGACGACARCCGTCGGGCGAGCGGGGACGAGTCTCCGGATTSCCGTTACGAAGAGGACGTGGAAGACGGTGAGGGGCTGGAGATCCGACCTGTGGCTGCGCGTGGTGGACGGARGGGAGGACGCGGACGTYAGCAGAGGGGCGAGTCGCGTGGTGGCCGAGGATCGAGGGCTCCTGTGGGCGACAAGGGTGGAAAGCACCCAGCTTGGAGTGTGGAGGAGATGTTGAAGCTCGCTCGAGCGAAGCGGGATCAGCAAGCTCATTTCGAGGGAATGCCACACAACTACGGCCGCATGCGCAACAGGGAGTGGAAGCTGCTGGACCTGCAGAAGCGGWTGGCGGAGGTCGGAGTGGACAGGACAACGGACGACATAGGGAAGAAGTGGGACAACATCTTCCAGCARTACAAGAAGGTGCAGCGTTACCAGAACATGTCCGGCGGGAAGAACTTCTTCACATTAACTCCTGCAACGAGAGCGGACGAGCGTTTCAACTTCCGAATGGATGARCGAGTCTTCWATGAGATCGACAACATGTCGAAAAATAACAGGACCATCTACCCGGACAACGTGGCAGACACGAACGCACGCGGAGGAGTGCCGCCAGCRATGGATGGTCACCGCCAGTCGGCCGTTGGTGGAGAGTCCTCTGCTGGTGGAGAGGGGGGTGATGGCGTTGACGAAGATGTGGGTTCAGTGCAGGAGACGGGGTTCTGTGCAGGGAGCACGGGCACTCCAGYGAAGAGGAAGAACATGCGGCAGCAGACCTTCGACGCCATCGCCGAAGTCATGGACAAACACGGTTCATTGATGGTGGACACGGTAGAGGGTGCGAGCAAACRGCAGTGTAGCATCCTGGAGCGACAGTGTGACATCCTCAACCGTGTGACATACTGGAGAGGCATTACACGRCGTACGATGAGGCGAACGAGATGATGTGCACGACGTTAATGGAGATTGCTAGAGCGATAAGGGATAGATCTTGACGCCGGTGGCGTGAGGTTTGTCAAGCCGTTGAAGTGGATTCGCCCGCGATCTGGCTCGTCGCGAAATGTGGTGCCGGTCCTCCGAACGAYGACATAAATCTAGGAAACAAGGCGGGGGATGGTGTGCGGGATGGCCGTGTACCCTCGCGCGCTTCGAAATGTTGAGTTGCTGGCTCTCYMGGGCAGGGCCGTCCATTCCACGGACCGCATTGTCCCTRGGTATTTGGGGTGGTCTCCTCTCATGAGGAATGGGTGATCGTCGTTGTCGTCGCGTGGAGGGGTGTGCTGGAGGCCGTCCGGGGGGGATCTGCGCGCCGAGGGAGGGGAAATGTCACCGCGAGCACTATRAAGGTCCGCGCGAGCGCTATCTTCTCGCAGTTTTTKGCTTGTCGACTGCGCACAAGGCCACCGTGGGGTTCCCGTTGTGCTGCGCGGGGAGCTGAACATCGCCCGCGCAAGACGATCCCTGGCGACTTCTCTCGTGCGCTATGGTAGTCCGTTTTCGTTCACGGGGCGTRCGCATCCGACCGTCAGCGAATGGCGCCACGTGGCCAGCAGAAGGCGAAACGTTCACACGGTGGTTCCGGCGAAGCGAGTGCAGGGCAAACAGGAAGGGGCCACATCCCAAAGTCGAAGAAGCTCCGCGTGGGAGATGGGTCGGAAGGAGAGATGGGGGGTGACGGGGGAGAGGAGGAGACGCCTATGGACATCACTTCTAAAGGGACGCCTGTGCTCGGGTTCGGGCGGGACGGTATGAGCAGGCAGCGGGGAGAAAACAGGAGAGGAGGGAGGAGACTCCGCGCGGGGAAGAAGAGGACGACCAGCCTCTGAGC